GAAGAAGACAAATACACGAAGTTATCTTAGGCGGCGACAGAATTTACGGTAAAAATGGTCATGAGAGAGTTACTGGTAGTGCGGGTTTTTGGGTATTAGATACTTTCAATCAGAGTTATTTATTAACCAGGTCATGGAGCTAGAGTTCTTAGTAACAGATCTAGAACTGTGAAATTTTATTCAAGTTCAAATACCATAATCGGTCCAATGCATTATTATCATTATAACATAACTGATTTTGGATTAATTTCATATGAGAATCCAGAAATCATACCAGTACCAAGAATAAGGAACTATGACACTGCGCTTTATCCTGAGATATTTATAGCAGAAGTTTTATTTATGAATATTGAGGGATCCCATGTATGTAAATCTGGTCAAACAACCGGTACAACTTGCGGGGAATTGGCTGCAATCGATGGTGTGTCTATAAATTCTCAAGGAATTATGCTTTACGGAGTCCTCAAAATGCGGTTGTTTGCTGCTAGTGGCGATAGTGGTGGTTCTGTATTCCACTATGTAGACTTTTCACATCGTTATTCATTTCCTTATGCATATGCAGTTGGTATATTAGTGCGTTCAAGTGTTATTAGAGGCACTAGTATAGTTGTACCAGCAAACGCAATCACGCAATATGGTATTGGATTTATGGGCCACTATTGAAATATTTTTTAAATGGGAATTTCAGAATAAAAATGTAGAAACGTTTATTTTAGTTTGCATCAATTATTGATAGATTTGAGCTAACGATCTCTGTTATTGAAAGTTTACTAATTTTATAAAGTGGGATTTTCAAACATTCCCATTTCATTTCCCGACTTCGAAATTTTGAAATATAAATAAAAATTTAAATACTCTCACCTATTTTTGAATTGTGCTACTTTTCTGAAACCTCTCAATATGTATAAAATGTTTCATATATATATATATATATTATTCGTCATTTTTCAATTTTTTCAGTTATTGATGCATTACATTTTTCAATTTGAAAATGACATACACAGTGTTTGAAATTTAAGGCACAAATACTGTTCATTTGAGAACAATATAATAGCTAAAAGATAGCTTCGTAACGTAGTTGTGTTAAAATCAGGAAGAGATGCATTGCTATATCCGAAATTCTAATTATTTAACATTGATAAATTATACTTATTGGCCTGACCTTATAAGCATATATACATATTGTATCCTTAAAATGCAGTAATATCTTACCACATAAAGTACACTTCTTTTTTCACCAATGAAATTGATAGAATCAATAATGCATTTTAAACATGAAGTTCTGCCAGAATACTATCAACAATTAATTACTGAATTACTCACTATAGTATATTTTATAATAAAATTGGGGAAAGCTGTAAAGCTGTAAAACATATTACCGTATTACTAGTAATATCATATTTCTATACCATAGTATTACCTCAATATCGCCATGTCATTGTAATACTTGTTAGCTTTCTATCTAAATTTATAAATGAAATTGCGTTCGAAGACTGAAAAAATTTCACTGTTGTGAGCTAGTGTTCATTAAAATAATGTCAAAATAATGTATTTGGCAGTTATGTATCTTCATAGTTACTTTAATTTTTTCTCAGGATACAAAGCCAAAAAAAAAAAAAAAAGAAAATATTATTGAATTGAAGGACCAGAATTGCTTGAAATTTTCTAGAGAAATGCCCCAAAACTGTAGGCAAATCCCATTAGTAACTTAAATAATAAACATACTTATATATAAGGCCACATAAGCTTATATAATCAGTTCTCATAGCCCGGCCGGGTCAGCAAAGCGGGAATCCAAAATTTTTATTTTTTACAGCTGTTTTCATATGGCTAATTTATTATTTCGGCATTAGTGATATGGGCCCATAAGCCGGCCGGGCGGGCGGGCTAAGGGTCGACCCATGGATTCATGGGCTGGGGCTGATTAAGAAAATATATATATATATTTTTTTTAGTATGTAAAAATTTGCAATAATTATATTATT